CTAGTCTCATTTTCAATTTACAAACATGAATTTCAAATAACCTTTAAACAAGTAGGTTCAGTAATAATATACTTTCCTAGTCTATTCACTCTCCTACTCTCCTAGACAACTATCTTACAGTTTCGCTTTTCTCCTCAAGTCCCCCAAGACCTCTACCCCCTGTACCCATCTTCACTCTTCCCAAAGAACTTTGCTTCTTATTTCACTGAGAAAACTGAAGCAACAAAAAGAAAATTTCCATAGACTCTCACTTGTACCCACATATTAACATCTTTATCCATGTGGTCGGCTTTGTCATCTACCCACAGATGAAGTATCAAAAGCCAAACCCTTTACTTGGGCACTAGATCCCATCTTCTTTCTCCTTTTCTTTTCTTTTTCTTTTTTTTTTAATTTGGGGTTTCAGCCAAGACCATCACTTTTCTCCTGTTTAAAAACATTTCTTCAACAATTCTCTCACCTCAACAACTTTCCCATTTCATTTAGGTCCTTTTCTATTTATTTTCTATAAGAGCACTCTGAAATCTTAAATGTGGTCATTCACTCAAAAATATATCCTATGCATCTACCACTGTGATGTATCAAGGAACAAAAAAGACCAGTATCCCTTCCTTGCAGAGTTTATAATCTAGTAGAGGGAGACAGATTAACTGTAAAATCTACCCTCAAAACAATGGCCAAAGTGATCCTCTTTAAAGGAAAATCATATCATATTGTTCCTCTGCCCAAAACTCAGCAATGGCTTTCCACTTCCACTATAAAGCTGAAGTCTTTATAATGGCTTATAAGACCTTATGTGGTTTGGGACCAATCTGAGAAAGAGCAAGCTCCGTCTCTACTGAATATAGAAAAAATTAGCCTGGCACCATGGTGCAAATATAATCCCAGCTACTCAGGAGACTGAGGCAGGAGGATCACTTGAGCCTGAGCTTGAGTTTTAGGTTGCAGTAAGCTATGATGACACTACTGCACTCTCGCAGGGTGACAGAGCAAGACTTTGTCTCAAAAAAAAAAAAAAGCAAGCCCTTCTACGATCTGACTTTATATCATCTCTCTGACCTCACTTCCCAGTGAGCACTCTCATTTGTTCACTCCATTCCAGCCATATCAGTCTTCTTGCTGATCTCAGACACAGCAGGAACTTCCCAATCTTGCCATTTCTTCTGTCTGCACTGCTCTACATAGCATCTTCATGGCTACTCTCTATTCCCTTCAAAATCTGCTTACATGTACCTTTGCAATGAGGCCCACTCTGATTTGAGGTTGCTGTGAGCTAGGCTGACGCCACGGCACTCTAGCCTGGGGAGCAGAGCAAGACTGTCTCAAAAATTAAATAAATAAATACAAATAAAATAAATAAATAAAATTGCAATCCTCCTCTTACCTCATATTTCCCTCTTTCTCTGCTCAATTTTTTGTTCCATATCACTTACCAACCTAACATATAATTACATAATATACATGTAAGTATATGTAACAATACACATAAGTATATATAATATACTATTATGTTTGTAATATACTTATTTATTACATTTATTATTTATTGCCTGTCTCCCCCTACTGGAATATAAGCTCCAAAAGGGAAGGAAACATGAATGTTTTGTTGGTTAAATGTATGTCCATCTTTATTCAGGTTTTAGTGTCTTTGCAGATATTAATGTAAAAAACCCAACAGTTTCTAAAAGCAATTATAGATGCAATAGTCGAAGCAAGAAAATTGTTATGCAATTTAATCATGGTGGTCTATCAAATTATTCTATCACCTCCTTTTAGTCATCATACCTATTTTTAGCAACCTATGAAAATTAATTTTTCACCCAAATTTTAAGAAAATTTTTGATGGATCACTTAAATAAGACTTTTAACCTAATACATGCTAAGCAAAATGTAAAAATTTTACCCTAGCCTTCTACAATTTCTGCCATTTAATATCTTAAAGATATTCCAATTTTTTCTCCAGCTTCTTTCCTTTACTAAATCCTAAGTTCTCACCAAAATGAACTTACCAGTACCTCAAATGTGCCATGTAACTCCCTCTACTTGTTTTTTGAATTCAATGCATTTTTTTTTTTTTTAGTCTCATGTCCATAGTCTGCCATGCATAAAACATCCAACTCAAATGTCACCTACTTTTCTGGACAGTGTAGAAATGGCGTGTGGACTAGGAGGGGATAGACCTTGATACCAATGTGACCTTTTTCACTTACCAGCTGTGCAACAACCTCACATAAGTTATTAAATTTCTAAATTTCAGTTCTCCCATTTGTAGGAGAGACAGTTTAGTGGTATACATGATAGTAAATGAATTCTTTAACTCTTACTAAAACACAGTTTTGCTTGGGGTGGTAATGTGCCAATTAAAAGAAAAAACAAAAAACTATACTTCCTAGCATCCTTTTTAGCTAGTGTGATTATACAACAGTTCTAAACAATTTTTTTTTTTTTTTGCACCATGGCTAGAGTGCCATGGCATCAGCCTAGCTCACAGCAACCTCAAACTCCTCGGCTCAAGCAATCCTTCTGTCTCAGCTTCCTGAGTAGCTGGGACTACAGGTATGCACCACCATGCCTGGCTAATTTTTTGTATATATATTAGTTGTCCAATTAATTTCTTTCTATTTATAGTAGAGACAGGGTCTCGCTCTTGATCAAGCTGGTTTTGAAGAATGTATTTTTTTAACCTCAAAATTCAATAAGAAAACAATCCAATTTAAATATGGGTGAGGCTGGGCGTGGTGGCTCATACCTATAATCCTAGAACTCTTGGAGGCCGAGGTGGGCGGATTGCTCGAGACCAGGAGTTCGAAACTAGCCTGAGCAACAGCGAGACCCCATCTCTACTATAAAGAGAAAGAAATTAATTGGCCAACTAATATATATAGAAAAAATTAGCCGGGCATGGTGGCACATGCCTGTAGTCCCAGCTACTCAGGAGGCTGAGGCAGCAGGATTGCTTGAGCCCAGGAGAGTGAGGTTGCTGTGAGCTAGGCTGACACCAGGGCACTCACTCTAGCCTGGGCAACAAAGCGAGACTCTGTCTCAATCAATCAATCAATCAATAAAGGTGAAAGATTCAGACACTTCATTAAGGAAGATATAAAGGTGGCAAATAAACCATGAAAAGATGATAAACTATGTTAGTCATTAGAGAAATGAAATGAAAATTAAAACCACAATTACATACTACTAGGCACCTGTTAGAATCTCTAAAACCTAAAAGACTGCCCATACAAAGTTTGGCTAGGATACAGAGAATCTGGAACTCTCAAACACTGCTGGTAGGAATGTAAATTGGTACAACCACTTTGGAAAACCATCTGGCAGCTTCTTAAAAAGTTAAATATATACCTACCATATGAACCAACAATTCCACTCCTAGATAGTTGCCCAAGAGAAAGCATAAGTCCATACAAAGACTTCCACACATATGTTCATGGCAGCTTTATTTGTAATAGCCTAGAAGTATTAATAACAACCCAAATGTCCATCATCACATGAATGAACAAATTATGATATATTCATAAAATGCAATACTACTCAGTAATAAAATGAATGAACTATTCATACATGCTACAGTATAGACAAATCACAAAATAACTATGCTGAGTGACAAAAGCCAGACCAAAAAGGTTCAAACTATACTATTTCACTTCTAACAAACTGATCTCTTGCGAGAGAAAGGAAATCAGTAGTCCGGGGACGGTGGGCTAGAGGGCAGGGTGTATTGAGCATGGATCACAAAGGGGTACTAGGAAAATTTTGAGAGTGATGGAAATATTCATTATCTTGATTATGGTGATGGTTTCACAGCTGTATACATATAATAAAACTTACCAAGTTGTGCATTTTAAATATGTGCAGTTTATTGTATGTCAATTATACTTCAATAAAGATTTTTAAAAACAAAAGCCCTCATGGTATGTGATTCCCACTCTGTCCTCTGGTTTTAGTATTCTTACACCCATATCACATTCCCAAAGGTTTTCCATACTAACCATACAATTTATTTCTTTCTTTACTTTTTGGAGACAGAGTTTCACTCTATTGCCCCAAGTAGAGTGCAGTGGTGTCATCATAGCTCATTGCAACCTCAAACTCCTGGGCTCAAGTGATCTTCCTGCCTCAGCCCCCTGAGTAGCTGGGACTACAGGCACACACCACCATGACCTGCTAATTTTTTTTCTATTTTTGGTAGAGACGGTCTGGCTCTTGCTCAGGCTGGTCTTGAACTCCGGACCTCAAGTGATCCTCTTGCCTCAGATACCCACAGGGCTAGGATTATAGAAGTGAGTCACTGTGTCTGGCCAATTTATTTATTTTTGTCAGGAATCACTTTAGTATTCATTAATATGTAAATTTTTTGTGTTCCTAAAATTTTAAGAATTCAGTCAGTAATGAATACTTGTATTATTCAGCAATAAAATTCATAGCTAACATGTAAGTGGCAAAAGTTTACTAGAGCTTTGTCCTTATGACTAAGTAGAATTACAGATGTTTAGATATCATACCAGTATATCATTTAAGATGTCTGAATCCTAAACTAGCTGATGGGGAAGAGCCAATGCAGTCCCTGTTCTGGAGAGATTAAGATTATTCTATGGACCTTCAACATAGGCACAGAGTGGTATAAAGCAAAAAAAGCAAAGAGGGAAAAAATTAATAATTCCTTCTCTTTTAATCATATACATTTGTCATCACTCCTAAAATAAAAAGCTGTACTTGAAGATGTAATGGTGCCAAAATGTAGGGGAAAAGAGAATTGTTTATATCTTGTTTTAAAATGTTGATGCTTGGCTGAGTTGCAGAGTACTAAATGCATATATATTCCCAAATGTAATGCTAACAGGAGTTACTGGTAGTTATGCTTAAAAACTTTCAGGTTCCAAACTAAACATAAATCTCTAGCCAAAATTCTCAGGTATTAAAGTGTTTATTCAGCATTATCAAGATGAATAGAACTACCACTATCTCCAGGAAAAGTATAAAAATAAAACTAATAAGAAAAAATAACACAGGATTTTTAATGAAAAAATTACATTATAACAAGGATACTATACATTAAGTTACAATATAAATATACACACATTTTTTTAAACCTCTTTTTAAACCTGGTACAAATGAAACAACATCTTTCTCATAATCACATGATTAAGAATATATTTTAACAGGATGTAAAGAAGATGAAACACATGCTGGTAGGCCTCAAAATTCAAAACTTTTAATGCAGGACCAGATCCCAAACCTGTTTTCTCCCACTTTTGTGACATTTAGGAAACATTTACCTTGCATAATATATACAAAAATTTTCTTTTAGGTATACTAAGTGCTTACACAGAAAATTGGTATCGAGGAAAAGGCCCACCATGGCTATTTATCTGTAATTCACTGAAGTGTATATATAGTTCACTTAGAGGTTTGGAACATGAAAACTACAATGAAGAAACAAGATGAGCTGTAATTGTAAATTTCTAATTGCTTATTTTGAATGTCAAACTCACTCCTGCAGATAGTACACCTTGTAATACATGACACAAAAGAACATATGTCAAACTTTGCTGTAGAGCTGTTAGGAGAATGCCAAACATAGATACTGAAAATGTTATATACTTATATTTAATACCCTATGCATTTAAAAATAATTAAACATTTAAATATGTAAACATAGTTTTCAAAAAGTGATGCTGAGCACCTTTAAACACAATATTGATATTGTTGACTAAACATGCATTTAGAGGACAATGAATTTTTATAAACTCATTTAGAAACCATTTTTAAAGAGCTACTATTCAAATACTTACATGAAAATATTGATAGTTCCAGTTTCTACCTAAAAACCAAAAGAGTATACAATTAGGGGTTTAAATCTTTCTTCATGCTCTTGCTTTTGTAGGGCAGTTTTGTTTTGGTTTTTGTTTGTGGGTATGATGCACTCTAACTTTCTGTCCTCATGATAAAAAACAGTATCAGAAGAGACATACATATGGATGAAGTAAGAGAAGTATTTTTTAACTATACCAAAGTCTGAACCCTGTGACATCTCTCATCTTTATAGGTAACTGACTAACTTTCATATATTAACAAGCATTTCTCCTTAGCAACTCAACATCAAAAAAGAAGGAATGTCTCCAAAAGAATATAGTTCAATTGGTAAAATACTTAATAATAAACCATTACCAGCACTAAATTATAAATTAATTTGGATTTATTCCTTTTAAGTACACAAAGACTAAGAGAAATCTGGACTGGAGGTGACTAAGTGCATAACATAATAAAATTTGGCAACCTGCCTCCATAAATTCCAATATCAAATACTTTCAATTTGTAGGAAAAATAAAAGAAATTCTTATCAAAAATTATATATAACTAAATATTAACTTTGCCTTAAATAAGGTATAAATAATAAACTTCATGTTAAATACAACAGAGATCTAAAGAGAAGGAATTTTAGAATTCCACCTACTTCTATTTTAACAGTGCTTTGTATTTAGATACATCTCATGTACCTGAAACAAAGTGAATCAAGGAGACTGGACTCAGAAAACCCAAAAGTGACTCATATTTATGTAATGAATTAAGTAACTCATTAATGACTTAACCTTAAATGAAATAAATTTAACCTTTATTGAGGTTAAATTTCACATTATATTGTGTATGCTCTGAATATTAAACATTAATATCCATTTGAACTCTCTATTTTTTTAGAGTAAAATTTAAAATATATCCACAAATGGTCTCTGAAAAAACAAAAGTGTTAAGGTTGATTTCTTGACAGCGATAGTTGACATTTTTAGTTTACCAATCTTCCAGAAGACAGATGCTTATAATGAATATACTGCTCAGTAGTTATTTGGTATTTGAAGTAAATATACTTACTTAACAAGGAAATAAACCAGATCAGACATTTTAAAGTTTTAAATATGAACTAAGTTTTAAACTATAAATACTTACCTTGAAATACTATAAATCTTAATATCATCAATTCAGTAAGAACTCTGGCATAGAAAAATGTAAATACAATTCAAATTATTTTCTAATTGGAGCTGAATCTTCAATACAAAAAAGGGAGGGAAATACTTTGCTATCATCACAAAGTTCCCCAAACCATCTGTAAACACCAAGGAAGTCTATTATTCTTTCCAAATTCTCTAAATTTCTATATCTTTCCACTTGTAGTGTTTTACCTTCAATATAGTACAATTACATGCATACATTGATTCTGCTGCTTATCTGATTAATTCAAGTTAAAATTAATAGTACTTACCAAGACACTTTAAATTTCTATGACATAACCAATAGTATGCTATTGGTTTGTAGTTAAAAGTATAAAAAATAGAAGAGAAAAGGCTAAAATGCAACTGTATGGTTTCACGGACATGACTGCTGGGCTTTGTGTCATGATGTAAAATCTATTGTTTTATCTTTCCAAATGAAACAGACTACAAATATTCTCTTACCTGCTGCCAATTAAAAGTTTCTTCACAACTTTAAAGAGAGAATAAGTTCTTTCAGAAGTTAAAAAAAAATTCATGACATACATAAACACATACAAGCACACACTCACACATTGTTTTTGTTGTTGTTCTTTTCTGTCTTGTAAGAATCAAAATTGGATATTTCCAAGATGAATTAGATAACTATTTGTATTCAGACTATATTACTGTGGATGAGTTCAGGAAAGCTTTTGAAATACTGGCCTTATTAGATAATCAAAAGCATAAAAATTATACAAAATGAAAAGAGTAAAATATCTCAAGGTAAAAATATGGAATTGGCAACAAATATATCAGTTTTAAATCAAAGCTTCTTATCAAATCAGTCTTCAATGCAGTTATCACGATGACAAATTCTGACAATATTCACCTTCTTTTCTAAGATATCAGAAGTCACCAAAGTTGTAAATTCTGAAATGCTTCAATAATTTATGTAGCAGATAGTTTTTTACAGTCCATATTTTTTTTTCCTTCCATAGACAATGCTGGTTCTTTGGGTTCTTGCTTAACTTGGCTCACAGAAATGATACCTTCTGGATTTTCTTCAACTTTAAAACCAAACATAAAAGAAAAATCCTAAAGGTTAATATATTTCATGACACTGGAATCATTAGAATTATATGAATTTAGATGCAAAGTAAAAACCAGTAGTTTGGTAAAAGAACCAAATAATTGAGAAAAGCAGTTGGCATATTTGAAAACTCTGTTTCTGACATCTTAAGTCATTCACTATTAAATTCTGTCAGTATGCTTCTAGCAATGAAAAAAAGAAGAGAAAACTACAAAGTTATTCTCTTCTAAGATACCATGACAAAAAAGCAGTCCATAATTTGATAAAATTATGAGGAACATCTCATATTTAAACTTAGCCATTTAAAAAAGTATGTGTGAATAAAAGCCAGGAACCTTCCCATCATTTGAAAATGATTTGTTTTGTAAACGGTAGGCATATGTACTACAAATTTATGGATGTGTTACTCCTATATGGTTTCCATATATCAAGAAAATGTTCACTCCCTCAAGGACCTTAACTACATTAGAAAAAACATCCCACATCTTAAATGTGACTTAAATGTGAGTTAGCTGTGCGAGCCATGTGTTTGCTCATCTGAAACATTTCAGAACGCACTTACCACTTTGATTTCAAAATATTTATGACCAGACTAATGCAGCAGACCAGAAGCACTATTTTGAGCTGGGAATTGTGATGTCTAAGATCAAATCTTCATCTCCCTTTTTTAGGAATATCAATTTTTCAGTTGCTATAGGAAACAGAAGTTAAGGCAACTCTGTTTGGTCAGACAAGTGTGTTGAACATGCCTAATGCTTGTCATACATGGGTGTATGCTCATACATGGGTGTATGCTCAAGACATAGATGACCAATAGAATATGAATTTGAGTGACCCACAGAACTCATATAAAGCCTTTCAGATTATCTTCTAACTTGATAAATCATGCAAATTTGGATCCAAAGAGGGTCGCCTTTAAAGCATTCTGGATTAGAGCTCCCAAGAAATAGGTGGCACAACACAGAAGGGGAAAGTACTCAGAGTGAGGGGAAAAACTTTGGAAAGTAGACAGATCTAGGTTTAAATCCCTCTCTATCACTTACTAGATGTGAGCTTTAGGCAGTTACTTAACCTCTCTGAGCCTTTGTTTCTCCATCTGTAGAATGGGGACACCACTAAGTATTTCTTGGATTTGTAAGAATTAATTCAAGTATATTCCTTTTTCTTCCTGTCTACTAAAATTTCTCAGTATTACTATCATATCCCTGTCGATAAATGTTCTTAAAAGTAATACTTCCAATAAGTTTAAAAGACAATCATTCTTTTCTGGAGGAAGCTATTTCACAGTTTTCCTTACCCAGAAAAATGATGACTAAGTTGGAGGGAAAATATTTTATATATTCTAAGAATAATAGCTGTGAAGATTTTTGCTCCTCAAAGTATACTACAGATCTTTTCCCACATAAGTGCCCAATCCAGAACAATTTGTGTGAAAAGAAGAAGTGACAAAGTTAGATCAAATAGGAGTTGACAGAGCTTACTATTATTTTGACTAGTTAGTATTTACTAATAACGTGAAGGTAACAAGGTTTTGGATTAAACCCAAGGGCCCAAGTCTTACTAGTTCCCTTACAACTTCCATAGAATACAACATTTAAGTCTATAATTCAAAATCTTCCCTTTAACCTTTATATCTGCCCACTTCATTCCATTTTTGTGCATGTGCATACATCAATTTTTCTGTAATAATCTTTGTGCTAAAACAATTTTCCTTGTTTATTTGCTCCTATCATTTTTTTTCACGCATTCTAAAATGATCTTCCTGATTTCACATCACTACAGATTTTTCATGGAAAACCAGATAATTAGGGAATAAATAATTTCAATTTATTGACTAAGTAATTAGAAATAAGGAGAAGAAAAAAATTTTAAAGTTTAAAAAGTCTTAAACTCATACTAATAAAATTTCCCCTCTCATAATTTTGCTTAATTTATATAATATTATGAACACTGAATATAAATAATAGTTTTATCTATAGTGTGATAATCCCATAAAGGTAAAACAAAATCATAAATTGATTTTTAACTTACTAAGAGCTGGGTGGTTGTCTATAATCTGTACTGGAATGGTCTGCACATCTCCCAACAGAATCTGATGAACGCTTCCTTCCAGATTCCCCGTATCCTCAACATCTCCAACTTCAACTAGCTGATCCATTGCAACTAGATTTTGATCCGGTCCTGGAAGGTTACCCATGGTAGAGGCGGTACTATTGTTTTGGGTTAGGCATGTATCTGTTTGAAGGCTATGACTCTGACCAAGCAGTAGAGAATTATTATTCATTACAGCACTTCCTATTGAATTCAGAAGTCTTGAAGGACTGGAGGAGGGGTGGTTATTTACTGGTATCAGAGCCGGTGATGCATCAGAAGAGGAGAACCTTGGTTGTAACTGCAAACCCTTTTAAAACAAAAACAGTAATATCAAAATGTTTGAATTTACTATGTATGATATTCTCATAGGATATGTTATTTTTTGACACAAAATCGGAACAAATGAGTATAGTTACTAATAAATATTAAGTGAGGACAGAAACCAAAACCAAGGAAAAAGTAGTACAATAAATTTATTGCATTCATAGTCAACTTCAAACTAATTTTCAAGACATACCATTTGAATTATCTTAAATAGAGACACAAAGAGGTCAGGAAATTAATAATGAAAACATATTTGGTGATTATTAAAATTCTGTAATAATTCTCTAAAATCTCTAGAAGAAGAAGAGAAATTGAGAAATAAAGAGAAGGGTCTCAAATTTGGCTATTTTACTGAATACTTACCTGTAGTTGTGTAAATATTTTTGGCTGAAATGAGGAAAGTGAGGAGATCAAGTGGGTTGGCTCATGAGACAAAGAACCTCCTGTCTGATTTGTTTCTCCTTTGGTGGTAACTGATTCTCGTGGTGAATTTCCTAAAGTATATAAAAATAAACTATTGAAACAAAATAATTGTATGGCTTCTAAGATACTACACTTTACTACAACTCTTTCTAACTGGAATAGGAACCAAGTTCAAAGTTTTGCAAAGGACTTCAAGAAATCATCTAGTCCACTATTTCCAGAAACTGGCAGATCATGAGAATCTCTAAGGGAAACTTTAAAAGATATATAGATTCCTAGGTTCAATCTCCATTCATTTTAATGCAGTAGATCTAGGTTGGGATCTAGGAATACAGTCATCCTTTCATATCCATAAAAGATTGGTTCCAAGACCTCTCTCAGATACCAAAATCTGCAGATGCTCAATTCCCTGATATGAAATGGCATTATATTTGCATATAACCTGCAAATATGCTTTTGTATACTTCACATCCTCTCTAGATTACTCATAATACAATGTAAAAATCTTCTGATAAACTTTATTGTTTAAAATTTTGTTTATATATATATTTTAGAGACAGGGTCTTGCTCTGCCACCCAGACTGGAGTACAGTACTGCCATCATAGCTCATTGCAGCTCCAAACTCCTGGGCTCAAGCAATTCTTCCACCTCAGCCTCCTGAGTGGCCTGGACAACAGGTGTGTATCACCACACCCAGCTAATTACTTTTTTTTTTTTTGTAGAGATGGAGTCTGCTATGTTGCCCAAGGCTGGTCTCAAACTTCTGGCCTCAAACAATCCTCATGCCTTGGCCTCCTAAGTGCAGGGATTACAGGTATGAGCCACCATGCCTGGCCCCTCCCTTATACTTTAAATCCTCTCTAGATTACTTATAATACCTAATACAATGTAAATGCTATGTAAATAGTTGTTATTATTTAGAGAATGACAAGAAAAAAGTCTATATATGTTCAGTACATGTGTAATTTTTTTAAAATATTTTTCAATCCACTGTTAATTAAATATATAGATGTGAAACCCACAGATATGGAGGGCAAACTGCATATTTTTTTCCTTGAAAGATTCTATACCTGTAATATAGCCCATTCTCCATGCTATAATGCTGGACTATTCCCAAACTTCTCTAGATGTGTGAAAGCTTCTCAATTACAAAGCTTCAAATTATTTAGCTTCTCAATTACAAAGACCAAACTTGATTCATCTTTTGTAGCCCTACTGCCTAGGATAATGTCTGGCAAGTTGGTCCTCAATAATAACAATATTAAATTTCTTTTAGTAACTCTTTTTGGGATAAATGAATAAAAGTAAAATTTCTCTAAAATATCTCAATTTTAAATAATCATCCTTAGAGAATCTGAATCATTCTCATGTAATTCTTATATGTTAATCCAAATATATTCTTCTCTTTAAGTCAATCAAAAACTAATTATCAGCCAGGTGCAGTGGCTCATGCCTGTAATCTCTGTATTTTAGGAGACTGAGGCAAGAGGATCACTTGAGGCCAGGAGTTTGACATTAGCCTGGGCAACACAGCGAGATCCTATCTCTATAAAAATTTTAAAAATTAGCAGGGTGCAGTGGTGTGCACCTATAGTCCCAGCTACTAAGGAGACTGAAGCAAAAGGATCACTTGAGCCCAGGGTTCCAGGGCTGCAGTGAGCTATGATTATGCCATTGCACTCCAACTTGGGTAACAAAGCGAGACCCTGTCTCAAACAAACAAACAAAAAAACTAATCATCAATAAATATTTATTGTTTTCATAATATAATTGAGCAATTTAAAAAATAGCCATCAGTGGGGAACCTGCAGCCTTAAGGCCACATGTGGCTCTCTAGGTCCTTAAGTGTGGCCTTTTGACTGAATCCCAATTTACAGAACAAATGCTAGATTCGTTTTAAAAATAAAATATAAATATAAAAGATGAACTAAAATATATTAATACAAATAAAAGGATTTTATTAAAATAGAAGGCTGATACAGATCCTAAAAATAATGCATCTTGAAGAATGCCTTAAAAGGGTAAATGGAAGCAGCATGGCATGGTGAGTAGAAATATGAATTCTTGAGTAAGGCCAATCTGTGAGTTTGAATTCCAGTTCTGCCACTTATCAGCTATGTGCATCTTGGGCAAAAGTGACTGAACTTACATGAGCCTCAGTTTCCTCATGTCCTCCAAAAAATGGAGACAGTGATGAGTACAGGTAAACAGTCATATATTTTTACCAAGCACGTACTATGTGTGAGACATTGTGTATAGGCAGGGCATAAAGCAGCTGTTAGAAATGGAAATCCTGGGGTGAGGCAGAGTAGAGATTAATTGCAGCTCCACCACTTTCTAGAATGCTGCTTGTCCTTGGGTGAGTTACTTAATTTCTCTAAGCCTTAGCAGAAATAAAAGCACCTAGCAAGTTGACTAAATGAGAAAATGTAAAAATGCACTTGACATTATGCCTAGAACAAAGTAAAGGCTCAATAAATAGCAGCAATTATTATTACTTCAGCTTTATGGAGTGATTCTGATATAAGGTAATGCTCCTCCTAGACAATGGGGGAAGTAGAGCAAAAACTGAATCCTTTAAAAAGCAGTGCCCAACCTTTTTGGCACCAGGGACTGTTTTCATGGAAGATAATTTTTCCTTGGACCAGGAAGAGGGGCATGTTGGGGATGATTCAAGCGTATTACATTTATTGTGTACTTTATTTCTATTATATTATTACATTGTGATCTATGATGAAATAATTATACAACTCACCATAAGTTGAGGACCTCTGGTAACACATTGACTGCCACACTAGAAAAAAAAATGTTTCCCTGGGGCTATGGTGTTTTATTACAAAAATAGAATAAAAATTTTGAAAAAATAAAATAAATAAAAATAAATAAAAGGCTGCAGGTTCCCCACCCCAGATGGATTTAAGTGGTGGCTTTTCTGTGTGACCTTCTATATGATACATAACTCAGTTTCTAAACTTCAGTTTCCTCATCTGTAAAATCAGTATAATTAAAAGAGTCCTTCCCCAATGGACCATTGAGAGGATTAAACAGCACTCTCATTCCTTGGCTTCTTTATTTGTAATGTCCTTTCACTTTACTCTGTTGCAGTCACCCACTACTCCTATAATATTCTGGACTATTCTACCTCTAAAATCTCAAACATCCCATTCTCTGATCACAATCTCTTATTCTTCCAGGATTTTGCTGGAAGAATACAGTTGTTCTTCAACTTCATGTGAACTTCCAGTCAATTGATCCCTTAGTTTTCTTTAGATCCATTGCCTTCTTCCTTAACAAAATTCTCTCCCCATCCAGCTTAGAGTCTTGGGTCTACAGTTGCAGTCACTCTCTTACAGGTACCCTAAATTCCCTTGCTTCTCTGGTCATAGTCCCCTGGTAAAACCCTAACTCTGGATGAAATGGCTTCCTGGGCCTATACATGGGAAACTGAGTGCTGCTAAAAAACGAAACTCACTACTACTCCTACTACCAATTCATGATCATCAAATTCAACTGGACATTCACCTGTATCTGGCAATGTTTCTCTCACTTTCTATCCGAGATGATTTCTAATCTGCATTTCCCTCAAACCCATACCACTCTTCCTGAGACCTTTCTTCATTCTTAGCACTCTCACTTAAAGAGAAAAGAAAAGCCAACAGGCCGGGCGCGGTGGCTCACGCCTGTAATCCTAGCACTCTGGGAGGCGGAGGCGGGCGGATTGCTCAAGGTCAGGAGTTCAAAACCAGCCTGAGCGAGACCCCGTCTCTACCATAAAAATAGAAAGAAATTAATTGGCCAACTAATATAGATAATATAAAAATCAGCTGGCTGGGTGGCTCGTGCCTGTAGTCCCAGCTACTCGGGAGGCTGGGGCAGGAGGATCGCTTGAGCCTAGGAGTTTGAGGTTGCTGTGAGCTAGGCTGACACCACGGCACTCACTCTAGCCTAGGCAAGAAAGCAAGACTCTGTCTCCAAAAAAAAAAAAAAAGAAAAAAAAAGAAAAGCCAACAGATATAAATTTCTTTAACTTCTCACCACCAGCTTCATTTTCATCTCCATCTATCTTTTCAGTTCTCTACTATCTTTTTTTTTTTGACAGAGTCTCACTCTGTTGCCCAGTTAGAGTGCTGTGGCATCAGCCTAGCTCACAGCAACCTCAAACTCCTGGGCTCAAGCAATCTTCCTGTCTCAGCCTCCTGAGTAGCTGGGACTACAGGCATGTGCCACCATGACTGGCTAATTTTTTCTATATATTTTTAGTTGGCCAATTAATTCATTTCTATTTATAGTAGAGACGGGGTCTCGCTCTTACTCAGGCTGGTTTTGAACTCCTGACCTTGAGCGATCCTCCCACCTCGGCCTCCCAGAGTGCTAGGATTACAGGCGTGAGTCACCATGCCCAGCCTCTACTATCTTAAAATATCTTTCTTCAACCCTGCATAGCAAAAATTCTTGAAAAAGTGATTCACATTGTTTCTACTCCTTCACTCATCTCCCATTCACTCTTCAACCACCACAATATGGCTTCCTCCCAATCCATTCCATTGAAATGCCTCTGAAACTCAAGATTTCCAAACCTGACTTTATGATCTCTTTTCTCTTCCCTACCCACCCAATGCCCTATGCTTTTGCCAGTATTGCTGATCTCAATAAATGCCACTTTCAGTCAGCTGCTCAGGGTAGAGATTCAGAGGTCATCTCAGATCATTCCCACTCTTTTACCCTCCCCTGCCACACACCTAGTCAATCAATAACCAAGGTCTTTGAATTCTGCTTAAAAAACATTTTTTTAAATCATCCAGCCCAAAATGTCATGAATTCTACTTTTAACACATTCACTGCCACACCAGGAAAAAAGATTTTCCTTGGGGCCATGGTGTTTTATTATAAAAATAGAATAAAAATTTTAAAATTGAAATGATCCTTTCTAATTCAATGAAAAAAATATATTTTTTTATTGTTTTCTGTGTGTGAGTCACATGCAACTTGAAAAAGAGTTCTTGAGGCTCCCAAGGTGAAAAGACATGTGAGTTAAATAAGCTTCATGAGGCTTCTGGCTCAAAACCAGCATGAGTTAAATACAACTCACATGGCAGTTAATGTGTTAAAATAACTCTTAAATCCAATTCTAGTTTATGTGCCACCAACTATCTAAGCCACTATTACCTTTTATGTGTACAGGTGAAATGGTCTCCTAAACCAGTTTTACTTATCTAATTTTATCTCCAAGCACTGTCTATGCTTAATCCACACTAGCCTTCTTAAATTCCTTAAACATGACAAGCTCTTTCTTGCTTAGACTTTACACATGCTATTTCTTTGATTGGCAAATTCCTACTCATTCTTCAGTTTTTAGTTTAAAAGTAACGTTTTCAAGTGTTTCTTCTCTTCTTCCTGAACTAAGTTATATGTCTTTATCACTATTCCCACATAATTTTGCACAACTCTTTCATGGTACTTTTCATAAGAGTTAATTAGGACATATTTCTTTAGTGTCTTTTTTCCTCTTGCTAAACTTTAAATTCCATAAGGCAAGAAACTTACCTGTTCTTTTCTATATCCAGCATTTAGCACAGTGAGTAAAATCTGTGTAGAATAAATGAATAATGCTAAATGATCTGAAAGTTATTCTGTAGGCAAAGTGACTCTTAATAGATAAGTGAAAGAATAAAAAATACTATTCTATATATACAATTATTCATTTATTGATTCTAAAACATTTATTTAGGTGTTATTTATTCTTTTTTTGAGACAGTGTCTCACTCTGTTGCCCAGGCTAGAGTACAGTGGCATCATCATAGCTCGCTGCAACCTCAAACTCCCAAGCTCAAGTCATCCTCCTGCCTCAGCCTCCTGAGTAGCTGAAACTATAGGCGCACGCCAACACACCTGGCTAATTTTTATATTTTTTGTAGAGATGGGGTCTTGAATCCTGGCTTCAAGCAATCCTCCCACCATGGTCTCCCAAAGTTCTAAGATTATAGGCGTAAACCACTGTACCCAACTGAGGTGTTAACTTTGTAGCAGTTATTATGCTACGTACTAGGTATATTAATTTGAATAAAGTATAATCCTTGCCTCTGACTCAAACCATAATGAAAGATACAGACACCTAAACAAAAGGTTACCATGTGAAATGCAGAAGTTACTACAAAACAATAAATAGCTTTATAAAGGGGGTGAAGTTAAGAGAGGAAAAGAGATCACTATTTGAGGAATAAGTTTGCCATGCAGAAGAAAAAAGACATTTCCAGAAGGGAGAACAGGTGTATAAGGGTCAAAATAAGCTTGAAATATTGAGAAAACATAGGAGTAAGAACATATGGAAGAAAAGTAAACCATACAAAATGGACAATAGTCCCTAAATCAAGGTATCCTATGGTTATTACTACAGAAATTAGCCAGCCTTCTAGTTCCCTGTGATAGTAATCAGTTTCAAAATTTCAGTCATAAAAAAGCATAAAAGCTGAGTATAAAAGGAAATTTTAAAAGCAGGAAATATTTTGATAATCCCTAATACAGCTGCTCTTGCCTCTTTGGGTCCTGGTTTCCTCACCTATAAAATTTGTTTAGAGGCAATAATAACTGAAGTTCCTTTCAGTTTTAACACTGTTTGATTTTATATTTTAAAGGTATTTAAGATAATCTACCTTCTGCAAATGTAACTGTCACAGTTTCTCTGAGAATATTCCCACTGTCTGTAGTCCACTGAAGCTGAAATGGAAACATTTATTTCAGTAAAATAAAGCATTTATATTGAAAAAAAATCAATGCAACTGTCATATTTTCTTCATTCATAGAATAATTTTACTATATTCTATAATTATTCTCTTCACTTGTTCACATTCTCAAAGTACAAGTATACTTTACTAACCAAATACATTAAGTTCTTGAGTCCAGCAAGCAAGAATATGGATAGCAAGTGTAGATGTCAAAGGAGCATTGTCAACCAAATCTGTTTTAATTTCTGAATTTTAGACAGTGATAATTAAGAGTTATGGATAGCAAGGAATAGTAGTTCTAACTTTTAAAAAAATCCAAATTTATTCAGTTGCTAAATTTGAATAGTAAAAGTTACGAGAGCAAAGGATATTGCTCTTTAGATTTTAATACCATATTCACTGCTTAGATTGTAATTAGCAGTGTCTTGGTAATTATAGTAATCTCTTCAGAGTAGGCAAAACTTTCATAGAAATAACTAATATTTAGGGGGAAACTACAGTATCAAAATATGAGGTAAAACTGATATCCACAGAGAGCATATAGAACCAACATCATCACTTTGAGTGTTCAAGTATGAACAATTCTACGAACAATAAAACTTGACCATCTATTTAAAAAAAGAGGATATATATATATAGTATGTACTCAATAAATGTCTGCCAAATGAATAAGAAATAAATTTTACAGAGAAAAAATATGGTGATTTTTAAATGAAGATTATTGTTTTTATTAGAGTAAGAGTTGGAAATTCACTAATATTTTTTCTTGTAAGAGTAATGAAAAATTTTAGTCATTATGTAAGAGTTCATAGTATTTACATTTTAAGAAAAAGATGCCACTAGCTTTTCTTATATCACAGTTATTCATATGGCCTAATAGTAGCCTTCCCTATTAGCCCAAATATTATCAGAAGCTGAGAAAGATTCTATAATAAAATAAGGAACTGTGGTTGTATTCATACCGTTGCTGGAATAATCTCTGAGTTATATACTGTATCTCCATTTCTCAAGGATTTCTGTACCTCATGGATATGATTTTTTATATCATTTACAGTTGGAAAAAAAGATAAATTATGTCTTTCAGGTACCTCATCAGGTTTGAACATTTCCCTTTCCACAAACTTTCTGTGGAAAATATAAAATAAAATAAAAACATAAACCATCTAGCAATATACTTTTAGATCAAAAAAGAAGAGTATCTTTTAGCATAAACTTTTGTAAAGTATGGTTTACAGCTCCATAAGTAATTTATACTTTCCCACTTTTATTTTTACCATACATTAAATCATAGAATTCATGCAGATTATAGAAATGTAATATTTTCATTGGTTAAACACCTAAATATATTAGAGTGAGACACTTTCATGGATGGAATGAAATCATTATTTTCAGTTTAAGTATAAAAATGCTTTTAATGCTTACTATCACAGGTCCTGTATGGAACACTTCATACCAAATATCTCCTTTAACCCTTACTATGATCCTGTGGCATAGGTACAATTATCATTCCCACTTCACAGATGAAGGAACTGAGGACTGCAAAAGTAAATAATTTAGGGGCCGGACGCAGTGGCTCACGCCTGTAATCCTAGCACTCTGGGAGGCCGAGGCGGGTGGATTGCTCAAGGTCAGGAGTTTGAAACCAGCCTGAGCAAGAGCGAGACCCCGTCTCTACTATAAATAGAAAGAAATTAATTGCCACTAATTATATAGAAAAAATTAGCCAGGCATGGTGGCACATGCCTGTAGTCTCAGCTACTGGAGGCTGAGGCAGCAGGATTGCTTGAGCCCAGGGATTGAGGTTGCTGTGAGCTAGGCTGACGCCAGGCACTCACTCTAGCCTGGGCAACAAAGTGAGACTCTGTTTCAAAAAAAAAAGAGTAAATAATTTCCAGTTATATATTCCTATTTAAGTAAGAAGTTTGGCCTATATTATGTGCATAAATATCATGTTATACTGCTTCCAAAAGCACCAATTAATATTATATGAAATATGATGTATATGAATTTTATAAGTAGAAAAAAAGACAGAAATGTAAGGTGATCTGCTACATAATTGTAAAAAATAAATACATAAAAATGATAAATTTAATATATATATATGCTTTGTGCATTATATTCAGTGGAGCAAATCACAGAGCTGTGTTATACTTCTGTTCTTAAGATTCAGGTATAGTAATAATGAAAGGCTTTACCATATTTTGGCTTTGTTCTAACAATGCTCCAGTGGAAATAAATATAAATGTTTAAGAAAGCTACTAATAAAAAGTCATGTATTAATTAAGGAATAATATTAATACTAGGAATTACAGTAAGTCCTCACTTAATGTCATTGATAGGTTCTTGGAAACTACAACCTTAAGCAAAAGACTTAAAATGAAATCATTTTTTTCTCATCAACACTATAATAACTTTGAATGAAAAGATGTTAAAATAAACAGTATTATATGTGCGCCTGCTTGTATGTCATTTCACTTAAAATAACAGTTTCTAGAACCTTATTGATGACTTTAAAAGAGTACAATCACTCTTTGTTGGAATCATGTATACGTAATATAAACCAGTAAAGCAAGATTAAGTACCAGAAATGTACAATGAGCACAGGTTATAGAGTTAGGCCTAAATTTCATTCTGCCTCTGCCTCTTTCTTTTATCAGCAAACTGAAAATATTTTATTAAATATGATTTTTTCTATTGATTTTGATTACGTGTTTACATATGCAGCTATAAAAGGCAAATGTAAACATGCTTTCCTAAAGATTCACTATAAGCTGTTTTCTCTCAGTGAATGGAAGAAGCAAACCACATTTCAACAAAGGACTCATATAGTATTGCTTCTTCCTCTTAAGCCAATTATTTAACCATTCTGAGTCTCCATTTTTTTCATGTGTAGAATTGAGATAAATATACCAACTTTATAGAGCTATTATAAGACTAAATGAGATCATGCAAGTAAAGAACTAGGCACAAAACCTGGCACACACATAGAAAGTACCACATAACAATGATGATGATGATAATAATGATATAATTATTATTAATTCCTGAGGATCAATAAAATTAAACCAGAGTACTATAAATAAAATTTCATTAGATAAAGAACTATTCAAATTCTTTTGTTGTAATAAAATTTAATTGCATTTCAAATAGCTTGAAGTAAGTACCTTGGCCTAGGTTTTATTTTATTTTATTTTATTTTTTTGAGACAGAGTCTCGCTTTGCTGCCCAGACTACAGTGAGTGCCATAGCGTCAGCCTAGCTCACAGCAACCTCAAACTCCTGGGCTCAAGCAATCACACTGCCTCAGCCTCCTGAGTAGCTGGGACTACAGGCATTTGCCACCATGCCCGGCTAATTTTTTCTATATATATTTGTTGGCCAATTAATTTCTTTCTTGTTTTTTTCTTTTTTTGAGACAAAGTTTCACTTTGTTGCCCAGGCTAGAGTGAGTGCCATGGCGTCAACCTAGCTCACAGCAACCTCAAACTCCTGGGCTCAAGCAATCCTGCTGCCTCAGCCTCCCAAGTAGCTGGGACTACAGGCATGCACCACCATGCCCGGCTAATTTTTTTTTCTGTATATTTTAGTTGGCCAATTAATTTATTTCTATTTATAGTAGAGACGGGGTCTCGCTCTTGCTCAGGCTGGTTTCGAACTTCCTGACCTCGAGCAATCCGCCTGCCTCGGGTTCCCAGAGTGCTAGGATTACAGGCGTGAGGCACCGCACCCGGCCTTGGCCTAGGTTTTAAAATCTTTGGTTTTACAAAGTTCTTTTTCTCTAAAGGTATTTATTAATAGAACAGAGTTGGATTTTTTTAAAAATGTATTTATTAAATAATTCAATTTATATATCATTTAGAAACAGTCTAATTTGCCAAAACTCAATATGGAATATCTCAAATGACTAATTAGAATTATAATAAACCATATCATACCATATTATGCCAAGCAATTGATGGAAAATGATCAGTTCATAAAAAGATTATTTAAATAAATTAATAAACTGTGTTCCTTATCTACTCTGATAGCATATATCCAGGAAAATATCTACTATTTAGTGTATTATTTAAACCAACAAACAAAAATGAAAAATGCAAAAGTACCTTAGCTGTTTCCTTACTGCATACACTTGTTCTATTCCCTGTGATACTAATTCTTGAATCTTATGTGCGACTTGAGGATGTAAACGTGAGGGTAATGCACAATTCTCATCTCTAATTGCAGTTTCCTCTTCTTCAAGAGAAGACACAGGAAAAGGGGAAGGTGACAAAGGGAGGCAGGGAGTCTCCAATTCATGATACTGATGAGCTTGCTGTGTAGGTAACTGTACATACCACCTGGTAAGTGAAAATATTTAAAATTATTAACATTTAAATATTAAAATTATTTAATATTAGGCAAAGGCAGGAATCATAATTACTTAGGTTAGTACTAATAATTTTTTAAGAAAAAATTATATGTGATTACACCATATTAAACAAAATCTAAAATGACCTCTGTTAACTCTTCTAAGATCTGCTCTATACACTATTAAATAAAAGTATTTATGAATCTTTACAGACTCACTGTGGCCCTAAAGTTGAGGGAGATGCAGGGATTTAAATATATATATACATATATATATGTGTGTATATATATTATTTTAAATTTCATATTAAGTAAATTTTACCTCAAAAATAAAGAGACAATATTGTAAATCATCTTTTAAATTGCACATTTTCCTACCCATCAAACTGTTGTCCCAAGCTACACTTCTGTGTTGCAACTACCATCCTTCCAACCAGAGAATATATGCAATTCAGAGATATATGGGAGAACCTTCCCTCACATGAGCTCAATATACTGCCTCTACAGCACTTCCAGCCCGTTCGCCCAATGAGCAAGAGAATAAACTAAAGGTGAACACGGATCTCTTCGAGAGCATGGCAAAAAACACATGCTGGGAAAATGAACTGATCTGGTAAGATACTACTTTAATTGGTACTTTTGTATAAAATTCTTACAATGATATTGCATAAAATGGATTCTACTTAGAAATTAATACACAAGTGTTCTCCAAACTGAAAGATTTAATTATTGACTCAGTTGATTTTTCATATACCTAAAAGTTCTTTTAAGGATCACACAAAAACTATATTCCATACACTTAATCCCATTATATGATAGCAAATTCTTCACCTGGACTGACACATAAAAGAAAGTAAAAGAAAGCTACTATTTCTTCTTATTTAAAAACTGAAGCAGGCTGAGTGCGTTGGCTCAAGCCTGTAATCCTAGCACTCTGGGAGGCCAAGGTGGGCGGATCGCTCAAGGTCAGGAGTTTGAAACCAGCCAGAGCAAGAGTGAGATCCCGTCCCTACTACAAATAGAAAGAAATTAGCCAAACAACTAAAAATAGAAAAAACATTAGCTGAGTACAGTGGCCCGTGCCTGTGTGTCCCAGCTACCTGGGAGGCTGAGGCAGAAGGATCACTTGAGCCCAGGAATTTGAGGTTGCTGTGAGCTAGGCTGGTGCCATGGCACTCTAGCCCAGGCAACACAGTGAGACTCTGTCTCAAAAAAACAAACAAAAAACCCCTGAAGCATAAAAGGCATAAAATGGAATTTTATTTAGGGTTTAGAATTCATTTCTGTCTACATAAGTAATCAAAGATGAGTTAAAAAATATAATGTCGGCCGGGCGCTGTGGCTCACGCCTGTAATCCTAGCTCTTGGGAGGCCGAGGCGGGCGGATTGCTCAAGGTCAGGAGTTCAAAACCAGCCTGAGCAAGAGCGAGACCCCGTCTCTACTATAAATAGAAAGAAATTAATTGGCCAACTGATATATATATAAAAAATTAGCCGGGCATGGTGGCGCATGCCTGTAGTCCCAGCTACTCGGGAGGCTGAGGCAGAAGGATCACTCGAGCCCAGGAGTTTGAGGTTGCTGTGAGCTAGACTGACGCCACGGCACTCACTCTAGCCTGGACAACAAAGTGAGACTCTGTCTCAAAAAAAAAAAAAAAATATATATATATATATATAATGTGGCTATAAGTTCTGCTCCTAATAAGTATCCAAAACAAAGTACTAAATATATAATACATTGCTAAATATTTATTGGTGATTTTGGAGAAAAGTTTCCACATGGTATATAGCATATATAGTATTTTTTGAGACAAAGCCTTGCTCTGTTGCCCTGGGTAGAATGCAATGGTATGATCACAACTCACTGCAACCTCAAACTCCTGGGCTCAAGAGATCCTCTTGCCTCAGCCTCCTCAGTAGCTGGGACTGCAGGCATGCACCACACCTGGCTAATTTTTTCTGTTTTTGGTAGAGACGAGGTTCTTGCTCTTGTTTAGGCTGGTCTCAAACTCTTGGCCTCAAGCAATCCTACTGTCTCAGCTTCCCAGAGTGCTAGGATTACAGGCATGAGCCATTGCATCCAGCCAGTACAGTGTAATTCTTTGGTCAGAATTATCTACAACCTTTGCCTGATAAACTCAGTGGCGTATACAGTAGCCAATCAATTTAATAGCTAGGAAACTGTTGTTGAGGTATCTATCTTATATAACCATTGCTTAATGAGATAACTGGAAAACAAAATTATAATTTCTCCTACAAAAGAATTCTTGCAAATGGACCTCATTAATTTAGAAAATAAAAGATCTATAGAAATGTCCTACCTAAGAATACCACCGGCATCTACCAAGTTCTTCTTTAGCATGTTAAAGGCTTTCTCCTGCTCCATTCTGATTATTTTCTTATCAATTTTGGGGTCCGTAGGAACTCTATATTCAGGAAACTTCTGTACCTTCTTAATGTAAATCCTTTATAGTAAGATAAAGAAAAATGTGTTTCATTATGTTATAATCTCAAGAAAATCTAATTTATCAACCAGAAGTTTAAGCATTTAAGTTTAGAGAAAATTTATCTAGAAAGTACTCAGAGGCTTATGTAAAAGATATGCCATATTCTCAGTGCATAATACTTAGCAAATTAGCAATAATCTTGAGTAAAATATTTAAGTATTTACAGATTTTAACACTTTTTTCCTGGATTTCTCTCCATTCTCCTGGAAGCCATAATCACCTCATGCCTGGATTACTTTAATAGCCTTTTTCTAGGCCTCTGTGCCTCCAATGTTTCATTACTTAAATTCACTTGATACATAAATGCCACAATAATTCTTCACATTTGTATTTCTCAGTTGAAGAATATTTCTGCTCTTCAATCAAGTACAAATTTCTTGGCAACATTCAAGGCATTCCATAATGCCTTGAATCATAAATGATTCTAATTTATTTACCTAATCTTACTTTTTATTACTTCAAATATAAAATTTCTTTTCCTGTGAAGTTCATCTTCTCAATGTGTAATCATTCCATATCTTTATTTGAATGGTTCTCCTAGCCTACAATATCTTCCCTCTTTCTACCTACCCAAATTCAATTTAAACTCCAGCATCCAGGTTAAATTGCACTTTCTTTCCTGCCATGAGTTTGTATGGATATATTCTTTCTCTAAATAGCTATTAGTAGCTAACCTATACATTTCACAATATTTACTATATCATCATGTTCTCTACTAGTTTCCTTGTTTCCTGATCCACCCCAACGATATTTTAAATTTTCTAGAATTAGGTAAATTTTTATTCCTCTTTTGGTCTCCCTGCTTCCTATGGCACCCAATGTAGTTTCTGGGCACAGAGTAGATATTCAAAAAGTACTTGTAGAATAATGGAGAATAAAATTATTTTTTCACATATAGAAGTTTTCTCCAAAGTTCTATCTGAAGTTTTTATATTGCTTATATTTAGAAAGCAGTTGAAAGTTTTGTTTCATGGTTAGGTCTAAATATTGCCTAAAGTTAACATTATCAAATTAAATATGAAAAGCCTTGTGAATAGGCTTTAAAAACTTGAGAATGCTGAGGTTTATAGCATGAGATGTGATGCTAAAATAAGATGTTTCAGGCCAGGTGCAGTGGCTCACGCCTGTAATCTTAGCACTCTGGGAGGCCGAGGTAGGCAGATCCTTTGAGCTCAGGAGTTTGAGACCAGCCTGAGCAAGAGTGAGACCCTGTCTCTAACAAAAAAATAGAAAAAATTAGCCAGGCATGGTGGCGCATGCCTGTAGTCCCAGGGAGGCTGAGGCAGTAGGATCGCTTGAGCCCAGGAAATAGAGGTTGCTGTGAGCTAGGCTGATGCCATGGCACTCACTCTAGCCTGGGCAACAAAGTGAGACTCTGTCTCAAAAAAAAAAAAGAAAAAAGGTTTCAAAGATCAACTAAGTTCTAACCACTACATTTTAATCTTTAAGTTTTTTATTTTACCTAATAAAACACTCTCAATGTCTAAAAAAGTCTTAAAATACTTTCAAAGTCTAAAAACATTATATTCATAATGTAAAGGGCATTATAAAATTTCATTGGTTCACATTTTTCCTTCTCATGCAGTGCAATATCTACTCTGTAGCCTAATTCTATCTAAAACTTATGGCATTGGTCTCATATATTGCTGGTAATTGGTAAAATCTCTCTAAAAAGCAACTCTGTAATATTTGTCAACATTTAAAAACGATATAACCTTTGCCTTAGCAATTTTATTTCTAGGAGTTTATTTTAGTGATATACGCACAGGTGCCCAAATGTGTATGTCAATAATTCCAGCTTTGAATGTAATAATAAAGAATAATTTTCATAGCTTACATGTCCATCATTAGAGGACTAATAATCCATCCATAAATGGAATACCATATGGCTATTAAAAATAAAGACACAGTGCCTTTTTATCTGATATGAAGTCAGCTTTGAGATATACTGGGAAAGAAAAAAAGCAAAGTATAAGTCACTATATTTACACTAGTATGTGGCATACCTGTGCACTAGATAACCACTATAGGCATTCAGATTGGGAATGAATCCATGTGAATTCATAGCAGGAAGGAAGGTATATTACTATCTAACTCTAAGGAAAGAAAAATACCAGTGAGCTTTACTGAAATCTTCAACATTTATGGGGACAGAGGAGATCTCTCTCTCTCTCCATATACATATGCATGCATACACGCAGAGTATCTTAGGAAGTTGAATCAAGTAAGAGTTGCTGCCTTAAAGAGAGACATAGGGAACAGGGGCGAGCGAAAACTTAGAATTCACTGTAAACTTTCTGCACTGTTTAAACTTAATAAAAATATGCATATTAGCTGTTAAGGAATAAATACTTAATAAGAAACAAATAAAAGAAAAGAAAGCTTACCGAGCTGGACAAGTGGCTTTGTAGAGCTGACAGGACCTGCTTTCCTGCTCACTGATTTTTTTTAACTGGAAACCTTTTCTCCTTGGCCCATACTGACACTCCATTACCACAGCTCTACTTCCTGTGGGCCAAAACCAACTATGGGTATTAATTCAAGAATCCCTCTATTCTAAACACTAGATTAAAAATAACTTGGTGGTGGCAAATGTCAAAATCTACACTTTTAATTACACATCAGTAACTCTTAAGACGTACAAATACATAAATTTAAAAGTTTATTGTAGGCCAGGCATGGTGGCTCACACCTGTAATCCTAGCACTCTGGGAGGCCGAGGCGGGTGGATTGCTCAAGGTCAAGAGTTAGAGACCAGCCTGAGCAAGAGCGAGACCCTGTCTCTACTATAAATAGAAAGAAAATAATTGGCCAACTAATATACATAGAAAAAATTAGCCGGGTATGGTGGTGCATGCCTGTAGTCCCAGCTACTCGGGAGGCTGAGGCAGGAGGATTGCTTGAGCCCAGGAGTTTGAGGTTGCTGTGAGCTAAGCTGATGCCATGGCACTCTAGCCCGGGAAACAAAAGGGAGACTCTGTCTAAAAAAATAAATAAATAAATAAAAGTTTATTGCAAAATTTACCAAATATACCATAATTATGGTAAGGAAATTAGCAAATATCAGTGAATGGATGTCTACTGATATTTTCATACCTATGACTTTTAATAATGAAAATCTACCACTTTATAAATAGAAATTAGTAAATGCTACATTTAGTTAATAAACATTAATATCATTTAAAAATGTATTTCCTTTTATAATTATTTATTTTCTTATTTCTTACTTCTATTTGGGCTGTTAATGCTGTAACCAGCTTCTAAGATGGCCCCCAATGATCCTTGCCTCCTAGTATTCATGTCCTGTGTAATTCCCTCCCTTTGAGCATGGGCTGGACTTATTAACTTACTTCTAATGAATATGGCAGAGGTTTTAGGATGTTATTTTTTATATTAGGTTGTAAAAAGACTGTGACTTCCATGATGGTACTCTCTCTTGCTCTTGCTTGGATTGCTCTGTCTGGGCGAAATCAGCTGCCACATGGTGAGGGAGCTCTGTGGAAAGGCCCATGTGGCAAGGAATAAGGCCTGCCACGTCAGTGAGTTTGGAAGCAGATCCTCCCCCAGTCAAGTCGTGAGATGACTGCAGCTCCAGTCAACACCTTAATTACAGACTTGTGAGAGACCCCGAGGCAGAACCACTTTGCTAAGTTGCTCTTGGATTCCTGACCCACAGAAACTGTGAGATAGTAAATGTTGGTTGTTTTCAGCCACCAAGTTTGGGGTAACTTGTTACATAGCAATAGATAATACAAATAAGTAGATGTGAAATCTAGAGTTTCAATTTTTAAGCTGAATATTCTACTCTACTGTAAGATACAGCAAACTTTTAAAATATAAAATAAAAATACCAATAATTAATAAAAATGTTGATAAAAGCTGACATGAAAATTTAGAACTCATTTAAAAGACAACATAGGCCAGGCGCGGTGGCTCACGCCTGTAATCCTAGCACTCTGGAGGTGGGGGGGAGCTCAGAGTTCGAAACCAGCCTGAACAAGAGCGAGACCCTGTCTCTACTATAAATAGAAAGAAATTAATTCGCCAACTAATATATATGGAAAAAACCAGCCGGGCATGGTGGCGCATGCCTATAGTCCCAGCTACTTGGGAGGCTGAGGGAGTAGGATTGCTTGAGCCCAGAGTTTGAGGTTGCTGTGAGCTAGGCTGACTCCACGGCACTCACTCTAGCCTGGGCAACAAAAGCGAGACTCTGTCTCAAAAAAAAAAAAAAAAGGACAACATAAATAAAGGTAACAGAAAAGTAACAGTTTGAGAAACACATGTCATAATACACATAATAAAGAATTACTATATAGAACATAAAGAACCACAAATGGTTAAAAATAAAAAACAAAGACACAACCAAACAGAAAAGTGGGCAAAGGCCACATAAATAGGCAATTCGGAAAGGGAAAAAAAGTAGTAAATGAATAAATAAAAAGATGTTCAACTTTAGTAGTGAAAGGGAAATGTAAATTAAAACAATAGTAAAATACTATATTGCACACTACTCAGATAGGCAAAAATAAAAACATTTGACAATACTCTAAAACAACTGATCCACAGATCAATCTAAATACCACAAATAGAGAGACACGTAGATAGCAACAAATATACAGCACATCTATGAAGTACTCTTACAAAAATCAAATCTGCATTTAAACAAGGCTCTAGACCTAACAGTTTAGGAAATACAGGAGATAAAAGAAGACAAACTACACCACAAAGATGGAATCAGCAAAATCCAGAATACGGCAAACACTACAGGACAAACTACTGGGGGAAAAGAGGAAAAAAATATTTAGCTGAAAAGAAATTTAAGAGCTATATTAAGCAAATGCAATCTGTGAATTTTGTTTGAATTTGAACAAATCTGTGGCAAAAAAAAAACAACCTGTGAGACAAATGGGAAAATGTAAACATTGGAAATTTTATAACATTAAGAAATTACTGTTAATTCTTTTAAAGTGTGATAATGGGATTGTTATATATGTATGTGTGTATATACATACACACATATGTACATATGTATGTATTAATATATAAAGAGTTCTTATCTTTTACAGATATATACTTTAGTATATACTACATACTTTAGTAATTATAGATTAAATGATATGATATGTGAAATATGCTGTAAAACTATCTGGGGATTGAGGAAGTGGTAAAGAGTATAGATGAGACAAGACTGACAAGACTGACTATGCTGATAGTTGTTGAGGGTGGATGATAGATATATGGAGTCATGAGGTTCTTACATTATTACCTCTACTTTGATTCACAGAGAATTGCCGTAATATAAATATTTTTAAAAGTCTAGCAATACTAAGTCATAAAGTAAATGTGGGGAAGGGAAATTTTATACATTGCTGATAGGAATGAAAATTCGTACAGGTTATCAATCCCTTATGTACAAATCCAAAATCTAAAAAGCTCAGAAAACACAGTTTTTTGGAACGCATTTGGCTGCAAAACCAGACTAGAACTGCGTGAGGCTACTTAGTCTATTTATTCCTCTTAGTGTGACTATCCATAAAGAATTACTATTTCATTATCTGATACTGTCTATAGCATAGTTGCTAGAGGTATTCTATAATATTATCATATTCCACAAATTCAGAATACATCTGGACCAAAAAATTTCAAAGAAGGGATTCTGGACCTGTACAACCACTTCAGAAAGCAATTTAAGATAATCTTGTGAAGATGAATAGTTTATATACTTTACAACCAGCAATTCCACTTTAAGGTATGTACTCAAGAAAAATTAATTACACCTTTTCATCAGAGGATGTATCCTGTGGAGGTTTGATTACAGCATTCTTTATAATAGTGAAAAGCTGGAAACAACCTAAATGATATTCAACAGAAAAATAATTGTACTCTGGCCATATGCTAGAATATTATATAATACTTACATTAACTAGGCTCTATAAGTATCTGTCAGTATGGACAGATCTCAAAAAATAAGGGTGAGTAAGAAAATTTATAAAACAATGTCTATAGTTTACTATGCATGTATATTTTCAAATATTCAAAATAACAAAAAAATTATTGAAAATACAAATATATATGGTAAAGTATAAAAATACAGCCTAGAAAGATATACACCAAATTCATGTAGAGGCTATCTATGGAGAGTTAAGAAGGGGATTAGAACTATGGAGGGAAAAAGGAGGGTTGCAGGATTTCAAGATTTATTTATTTATTTATTGATTGATTGATTGATTGATTGATTGATTGATTGAACCCTCAACCACCACACATCAAAATAGTGATTTATGTCAGGACTGTGGGGCACTAATTTACCTGGAGAGATGCAGTCTCATCGTGACATCTGAGGTTAATGAAAAATACTTACAGGAAGATCAGATAAATGTAAACCCTTCTCCTGGTTTCAAAGTATTCCATAAAAGAAATGCAAAATTAAAATAAACTTGAGGCCGGGCGGTGGCTCACGCCTGTAATCCTAGCTCTCTGGGGGCCGAGGCGGGGCGGATTGCTCAAGGTCGGAGTTCAAAACCAGCCTGAGCAAGAGTGAGACCCCGTCTCTACTATAAACAGAAAGAAATTAATTCGCCAACTAATATATATAGAAAAATTAGCCGGGCATGGTGGTGCATGCCTGTAGTCCCAGCTACTCGGAAGCTGAGGCAGCAGAATTGCTTGAGCCCAGGAGTTTGAGGTTGCTGTGAGCTAGGCTGACGCCACGGCACTCACTCTAGCCTGGGTAACAAAGTGAGACTCTGTCTCAATAATAATAATAGAATAGATAGATACGATAGATATAGATAGATCAGATACGATAGTAGATAGATAGATCGATAGT